TACAGAATGGTAAGTAGAGCTGCGGTTAAAGGTCTTGGTAGGTACATACATGTCGCATGTCAGCCATTGGTGACGTACTGCCGGGTGTCGGTTACATGGTCAGAATTGTCGAGACAACGATACCAGCGTCTCGAGTGGGGAGATAAGCGGCAGACAGAAAGAAGTACAGCTCCGGTCACACATGAAAAGGATTTTTGTAGGCTGATTTGGCTGCTTTCTTTCTCCTTGGAAGCCTTCCAATCAATCACGCCCCCCCCCCCACACACACACAAACACACACACACACACACAGGTGCATAACGCTTCTTGTCTGTCCTGTCTTCCAAAAAGACTCATCCCACACCAGCTGGCAGCTGTTTTGAACTATATTTTGGGTCATCCAAAACTGATCTCAACTTTTTTTTCCATCGTGTCAGCTTTTTAAGCAACAGTAGCCCTGTTTTCTTAAAAAAAAAAAAAAAAAGAAAGAAAGAAAGGTGTTTTTACGGTATGTAAATTAAATGCTAAGATGGAATAGTTATAAGCTTTTGTGGGGGAGGACTGCATAAAATGAAACCAAATTTACAACAGTAGGCTTATGGTGACAAGTTTAAAAGAAAAGCCAGCACTAATCCTCTTCATTCCAACTATGTTGGCTTTCTGTTTGCAGATATTGATAGGACTGACCTATTGGGAGCAGCACACACCTCTCACCGCCGTGTCTCAATTATGACAATTTCACAAGCAGCCACATGGCTGTAGATGAGTCCAATAGTAATCAATTGGAGAGTCTTATGACAACTTATCAATGGAATTTTGTGACCTCTGGTAAGCTGCGGAAAAGAAAACCTGACATGCTGGAAAAAAAAAAAAAACTAATTGCAATGTTGGAATCAGCATGACGATATTAGTTTTAACCATCACCAAAATCTAACTCAACTGATTCCCCCCCCCCCACCTCCCTTAAATTATTTCCCAGTGTGAAAACAAACTACTTCCCTTGACTTCAAAAGTAATCATCAATCAATTTGTTGTGTATATTTACGTAAACGGTGAGTCGACTCAACATTCAATTGGTTTCTCCATCAGAATGACGGCATGGGGGAAAGTCGTAACTAGTAAGTGACCCATGACAAAAATGACACCCCTGCTCTACATTGTGTGTGTGCATGTGAGTTCGAATTGCTGTTCGGCCTGCGATTGACCAGCAACTTGTTCCGGGTGTTGGGGTCCTCTTGGCACAGGTTTCCAGCTCAGCCACAATCCTAATGATGTCTTTATTAGGATTGTGGCAGCTATGGAAAATGGATGGATGGATGGATGGATGCGTTGCTTATGCATGCAAGTTCCAGGTTTTGGTCCACAAAAGACCACAAAGGGTGAAACAAATCCCAGATTTGTGGATCCAACAAGAAAGAAAAGCACTTCCAGACACATACAGAAGGATAATAATTCTATCGGAGTCCTGTCTTTTAATCACTTTTTGGCATTTGAGAATTTTTGAGTCCAGATGAAGGTGAGGGGAAGTCAGAAGGGCAGGATTTTTTTTTTGGGGGGGGGGGGGGGAGGTTAAGATCGAACACGTTGAAAATAGACTGAGGTCACACATTCTGACGGTTGCATCCCACTATTGTAAATTGTGACCTCTGTATTCTGAGGGGGATGAGCAGGATTGCCCTCGCATATTCTAATTTCTGACACACACACGCACGCACACACACACACACACTTTCTGGCTCCTCTCAAAGACAAAACATATCCTTGGGTCCAATGCTATCTTCCCTCGTTGTTGCTGTCTAGGTCTCACTGTCTTCTCACTACAGGGCTTTCGGATGGTCCAACTTCTGTAAACACTTCCAACATCCTCTTCTCCCATTTTCGACCAATTCTTTTTCTTTGAGGGGGGAGGGATGTGCATTCTATCACCTGGCAGTCATCATGCAACCACACCTCGTCTTAATCTCATCCTCTGCGTGGTTTCCTGCCACTCTCCTAGAGATTGGCGTTATCAGAGCGGAAGTAGAGGAGGCCGGCTTCCTGTCCCACATAGCCATGGCGACATCACGGCGCTAATGTACAAAGAGTCAGACTGTTGATGAAATATTCAGTGAAGACAGCAAAGAGCAAAAGATCATAACATACATTTTTCAGTGAAGGCCCCAAGAGGTGTCCGATACAGTTATCTCATTTGTGTATCTGTGTATGTGTATGCCCACCCGTATGCTTCTTCCTGTGCTTGGATTAGCAGCTGTAATTGGACAGTTTTCTAAGTGCATTTGGCTCGACATCAGCAAGTAGCAGCATTCCAACCACAATGAGCAGCTTTTTTTTTTTTTTTATGACATAAAATATGCAGGCAGGCACAAGCAGAGAAGCCATTAGGCAATTTCACCATAAGCACAAATAGCACACGGTTGTCACTACACGGTGGTGCGCCATGTAGATGTGTACAGTACATCAGGGACTCTGAAATGTGTTTTCATCTTCTCATCACTGTCTGCACGCGTGAGGCATCCGACGTATCTAACGTCTTATCTGTGGGAGTTATGGATCGCCAAGTGCACACCGATTGCAACATTTGTGACATTGTTTTTGCTGACGGCAGAAAGCAGACAACAGGGCGTCTGTGGAGGATCACATGAGAAGACTACCTTTGACAGCGAGAAATAAAACCAGCAAATGATGAAGAAAGAAACTGACACGAACAGAAAGTACACCGGACATTGCATCTAGTTTGTGTGTGTGTGTGTGTGTGTGTGTGTGTGTGTGTGTGTGTGTTTTCCTACAAGAAGGAATTGTACCACTTTGGTGTACATGTGCCAGGCCCAATTTGCTGAGTACATTTAGCTCCACATGAGCAAGTTGCATCAGTTCAACCCACAGTGAAGAGTTTTCATTGCATAAAACATGCAGGAAGGCGCACGCAAAGAAGCCATTAGTCATTTCATTAAGTCTGAATTCATCCATCCATCCATCCATTTTCTGAACCGCTTTATCCTCACAAGGGTCACAGGGCGTGCTGGAGCCGATCCCAGCCGTCTTCGGGCAGTAGGCAGGGGACACCCTGAATCGGTTGCCAGCCAATCGCAGGGCACACAGAGACGAACAACCATCCACGCTCACATCCACACCTAGGGACAATTTAGAGTGTTCAATCAGCCTACCATGCATGTTTTTGGAACGTGGGAGGAAACCAGAGTACCCGGAGAAAACCCACGCAGGCACAGGGAGAACATGCAAACTTCACACAGGGAGGCCAGAGTTGGAATTGAACCTGGTACCTCTGCACTGTGAGGTCGACGGGCTGACCCCTGGACCACCGGGCCGTCCTTAGGTCTGAATTCATTCAATTAAAAAAAAAAAAAAAAAGCCGCTTCAAGTATTTTGTATTTTTATTTCTTTCAATTTTATTTGTCCCGGTAAGGTATTCGAAAAGGGATTATCAGATATATTTTAGTGGTGCTTTGATCGATCAGCCATTTTCCTCCAGACCTCGAGCAACGTACGAGTTGGACAGTAGCGTTGTTAACCAACGGAGGGGAATCCCGCGCTGTACATTTTGGTTCATTAGCAACGTCGCGGCAGCAGTTAGCTTCCCACGGTTCGGTGTAGGAGGGCCTTTTCGCAATGAAAAAAAAAAATCAGGTATTCATAATGAAGTTTACTTTGTGAAAGGTTTTCGTTGTAAGCAAAATCAGCAAATGGAAAATGAATTACGTGAGCTTGGGACTTTGTAACGTGAACGTCTTAAGGTAGGAAACATAAGCGGAGTACGTTGAAAAGAGGTTCGACTGTATCAGCCATATAACCGTACCCTTAAAATGCAGACGGCCTGAACATCTGTGCAAAGATGTTGTCCAGATGCTAACGCTTGAAAGAAACTTTGTATATTTATAGAAAGATTCGATAGCGCAGATTGAGCTGAATAAGAGGATTGATCACATGATCAACAAAGAGCTGAGCGCCAACAAGCAGCTTTAAACTTGAAAACAAAAAGCATAATCTGCCTCTCTTTATATCCAATAGTTTAGTTTGCCATCCTCGGCTTTCATGAAATGATTCAGTCAAATCATCTTTTCTTTTTCCTTTGCCGTGTCACGGCAATTGTCAGCCATTGACGCCTTTTGAAAACAACTGATGATCCCTTACCAACCCAAACACATCGTGAAACCAATCCTGTCCACAAGTAGCCTTGCTGGTGCACTGGTGTCATATGAGAGTGCCGTTCTTGTGATCTGGCTTCCATTCCCAGACAGTGCATGTGTGTCTGTAATACGATCTTATTTTATTAAACAGTGCAGTTTGAGGTTTCCTGCATGATCGACCACTAGAATGTGTCTTTTTCCACTCGCATCGCTCCTCGTTCAAAGCCTTTGAGTTAACAGCGGTCGGAGCATTAACCGGGGAGCATTTTGTTCTGTTATCAACACCACAAGCATTCGCGTCGCCGCCGAGCCAAAACTGAGCAGAAATTCCAAACCAAGTGAACATCAATTTGGAGCTGCAGAATCCAGTTGATGCATGGAAATACACACACTCAGCACCTTCTCCAGACATTTGACTGACAGACGATAGTTTGTACTGCAGTATGCATGCCAGGCCACGAGTGGCAGTGTAACTTTTAAAGCCAACGATTCCCCATCACGTGAAAAGACCAGGGTTCTGTAGCACACCGGTGTGCCATAAGAGATCATCTTTTCATGAAACGATGACTGCGTACGGTACGATAAACAAGGACTTCTCGGCCCTGTTGGTTGGTTTTTGTCATGTTGTAAAATGAAATATTTTGATTGATATTGACTGTAAGTGTTAAACATCCTTAACAAAAGAAACACTGGATTAGTTTGAAATCAATCGTAAACTCATTCGTTAAATACCCAGCTGCCCCTTACCTTGTGTTTAAATGTGTGTTTCGTTTTGTGCGTGCACTCCAGCCTCTCGCCACAGATCTGACCGGTCCTTGCCTTGTTTCCACAGCCTTGCCATTTTGAGTTGTCAGTCGCCGGTCCCCAAATATCTTCTTTTTTTTTTTAACTTTGAACCCTGCAACTGTGTCCAGTGTCCAAGCCTGCTTCTGACAGAAATATAAGGAACAATCAAAACATGATGCACAAAATCCTGTGTAAATGCTCTTCCAGCCATAATGCAACAATATGTTTGTAGATGTGCCATGCGATTGGTTGGTGGCCAGTTCATGATGTACTCGATTCTCGCTCGTATTCAGATGTAGAATGAGATGGCTTGATTTGTGTCGATTGCGTACGGCAGGGGACCTCACTACTTCGGAGTTACGGGAGTGAAGGCGGTTCAAGAATGTCAATGCCAAATGTACAGTTCAGCTGCCTTTAAAAGCCAAGCCCTCTGTATAATTTATTTGTAATTTATTTTCCGACGACTCCACAACCACCACCATAGACAACATGCCAAAAAAAAAAAAAAAAAAAAAAAGGAGGGCAGGCTCCACGGCAAATGTACTTAGAGAAGCATGTTTACATATTTCATAAGTTGGACATGCAGGCTGGCAAAAAAATAGTGCAACTAGAACAACAAAGATTTACTGCGCGCGCGCGCGTGCGCACACACACACACACACACACACACAGTCAGCAGGGTCCATTTGAGCCACTCCAGGTCAAACACACACATGAACTACATGTAAAGTGCTGCTTCTTTCACACACACTTGATTTAAAATGTTAAGTAACCATACTCAATAAACCTCAGCTTGCCAAAAGGGGTCTAACACCTTTAATGGATAGGATGGGGGAGGAGAGCTTGATCACCAGTTGCCCTTTTTTACATATAGAGCTGCCTCATTTGCTTTTTAAATGCAATGAACCCCCACCCGTTTGCAGATGGACATTTGCTGTCTTTTTGCAGATTTTTTATTTGGGGAGGTGGGGGGGGGTTATTCTGTTAAACTGAAGAACTCATCAATTGACTTTTCAAGCTCAGGCCATTTAAAAAAAAAAAAAAAGCACCCAAGTGTGATGTAGTCTTCAAATCCATGATTGCGACATGAAACACACTTGGAGAGAAATAAGCACAAACTTGCCAGTGTTTTACTCACGTCTTGTCTCACATTCTATAACTCGGTTATGTGCGCCTCGCTTTAGACATCGTAACAGAAATTTGCAAGTCAGGCTAGTCGTCGGCAATATCTGTCATGTGATCTTAAGCTCCCTCATGGAGTTACCAAAGTACATCAATTTAGTCAAGTCAGACCAACATATTTCCATACGGTACAAACGTCAAGCAAAACCAGAGCAATGTAAACCGAGACAGACACTTGGAATGAGGCGATCATTCTCGTCTCACTCAAAGGGCTTTTTGTGTTTTCTTTGGCTTTCTTTGCATGTGTATATGTCACGTAGGATAATACAACTCACACACTCTACATTTGTCACCTTAACTGGCGTTCTGATAATTCTGCAATAGTGGAGCATTTTCCCTCCTTTCCAATAGGGGACCGAAAAGATCCAATTTTGGGATACCTCCGAAAGATTATCTTGTGTTATATGGTGTATTAAAAGAGAAGTTGGGAGTTTTCAACCTACTCGAATGTATGCTTGCGTCCCATAATCAAAACTATGAACACCTGCACAGCATACACTGTATATACCAGCCAACGTTAGCCAAAACTGCTACTTTGGTACCCAATATGAAATGTTACTGTTTCATGGTTTATTTTTTTTGCTATGTACAATCAACTAAAAATATTTCAGCCGTGACAAACTTACTTGGCAATTCTGTAAGAACGGTGACGTAGCCGATGTGTTTTTCAAGCCCAGTAACGCAGCCGTCCTTGTAGGACACTCGCATTTGGGTTTGTTTGGAGATGTTCAGTACTTTCCTTTTCACTTTTTTTTTTTTTTTTGCTAACCTGAGTTAAATAACCTGCTCAAGAAAACTATGAACAAACGGGAGCGACTAGGAATTGTATCGAGAGGTCTCGGAAAAATCACACTTGAAGCACAACAACAAGCAAGGTCAATAATCTGACAAGGAGTGGCAGAAGTCAGGAGTCCTTAAATACACAGCCAAGCTTGATGGGGTAACGAGGCGCAGGTGCACCTGCTGCAGGGAAATGCCCTTCACTCCAGCTGCAGCTGGAACTCAATCAAGACAGCACATGATTGAAATCAAGTCAAAAATGTTCTTTACAAAAAAAGTTTTAATGCACCCCAATGACGCTAAACACGGTATTAATCCACCCGTCTTACGAGCGGCCATTTTGCTACTTGCTGACGACTGAAAATGGCGTCACAGTCCCTAAAGGCTCAGATTGCGAAAGTCGCGTGACCAAACCCATAAAACAGGCGTGAAATGACGATTGCTACACATTCCGATGACGTATACATTACATATTATTGTCAAGATTTTTTTTTAACATGATTCACCTTTAGGACAATACAAATCAGTATGTGTGGAACCTGTCTTAGATACAAATAAATCATAGCAGGATTTCAGACTCAAGGCATGACACCTTAATAATGCACAACGTTGCCCCGCCCCCTCCCCACTCCCCCACACACACAAACTTTCTGTCTTGTCTTGCAAATGTGCTTGTCTCATGGCGGCGACCTAGTTTACAGCCTTGCCTCTGAGCCACTGAGACTCGTTTCCTTTTGAAGATGAAGCAAGCGGCGCGGCATGACAAGACGGTTACAGAAGCTCAACAAGACATAAATACTAACAGGCACGCCGCACTTCACGTAAAAAACACCTCCTTTTACCACCGCATTGTTCACATCTTCAAGCGTTTCGCTTCACAGTGACAACATTGCTGATATGGTTCAAGCATGTCTACAAAACGATGCATCGAATATTTGTTCTTCCTCTCTTAACTCCCTTTGGCAGCTCCTCCTTTTGGAAGATCCGTTTTTTTTTTTGTTGCACTAGTCCGAACTATGGTCACACAGATGAGCTGGAGTCACTCTGCTGACATGTAAGCTCCTCCCACCAGAGGTCTCATCGGCAAGTCAAGGAGATCAGCCGATCAGTAAGAGGGACAAATGTTTGGGAAAAATATTCAGTCATTGATGTCATGATTTCATGCATGTTATTGTTAACGGAGCTGACAACAATTCCCGGGGAAAAATAAAAGGATCCAAAAGTTAAGTCAATGTGCCCAATTACATTTAGGGGGGGTCCTCAAGAACATTCTAGTGAGGCTGCAGCCCCACTAAAATAGGCCTAATGACGCCCCTGGTATCGTGCAATGAATTAAGTGAAAAGAATTGAATTACAAAGATCGACAAATTGAAAGGAAAACATACAAATTCCACATATGGAATGCTGAGAAATAAAGCCTTTTCCGCCTTTCTGCACTTGTGTTATGAAACACCCTCGGTCACAAGTGGCATCAATAAGGTTGTAAAACATGCAAAGGGTGCCTCTGAAATCTTGATGAGTGGTGACAGACATTAATGCCGCATTATTTCACATGAACACTGCTATAGTTCTCATTTGGCTGCACTCGTGTTGTGGTGCGTGCCTCCAGAAGCGTATTGCATTATTGCTGAAGGATTAAAAAAAAAAAAAAGATTCTGCGTTAAAATAGAATCACCTTCAAATCTCGGTGATCCGAAGAGAGAGCTAAAGTGTTGCTGTTAGACAAAGCAGATTCCTAAAGGAGACCATGAGACACTTTCTGTCACTCAGCCACATGCGCACACGCACATTTGCATATTAAAAGCGCATATTTGATTGCATGTCACTTTTATCCCCGACATCAGAGTGCGTTCCTCACAAGCGTGCCGTGCGGCTTCAGCACATTAGTGACGTGGCGCTGCTTAGCTGAAACACTGAGCCGCCTCAGCTTTGTGCAGGCAGCTTTTTTCTTTTCTATCAGTGGCCTGAAGTGGGCTATATGGTGCATTTGTAGCCCGTTCTTAATCATCTTTTCGCTACCTCTGAGCACTTTTTCAGATCAAGAAAAACACAAAACAAATCAAGAGGCAGAGCTGAAAAAAATACGGAGCTAACAAGGTGGCTATAGTTTTTGAAAGTGTTATTTGTCTCCGATGTAGACATGCTTCTGTGGCTAACTAGACATCCAACACCCCTGACATTGTCAAATTCCAAATTCTGTGAGGAAAATATGATTTCAACCATGTCATGAGAAGTCATCTGCATCAGCTTTTGTGACACAGTTAAGTGAAGAAAGACATATGCGAGAAATATAACAGCATTGTCAAATTCCAAATTCTGTGAGGAAAATATGAATTTGAACCATGTCATGAGAAGTCATCTGCATCACCTTTTGTGACACGGTTAAGTGTAGAAAGACATATGCTAGAAATATAACAGCACAAGGACTCATGCGTTGTCACTTGTTATCAATGTTGGGGTAACACATTCCAAAAAATTTGGGGGGCATGGCTGCAAAACACACTTTGGAGTCTAGCATGAGTCCTCCTTCTCGCACGATCAGAACTGAGCTTTTGGGGGGCATGGCTGCAAAACACACTTTGGAGTCCATGAGTCCTCCTTCTCGCACGATCAGAACGGAGCGCCTTCGTTCACATCAGCAGTTATTTGGCGCAACTGTGAGCAACTTAGCATTACTTTCACCATCCAGAAGCCTGTTAGCCTTTAAGCTAGCTGGTGTCTAGAGCTTCTCGTTGTGCCGTCAAAATTTCCGTGACCATGCGCTGCGATATAATATTCCAGCCGACGGGAGCTTTACGCAGATCTATTTTTGCAAACATGAGATCTGCGTGGTCATGAGACGCCAAACGTAGCGATATTTGATTGACAGCTAACAGCAGGGCGTGGTTTCAGCACATGCAGTAGACATGGCCACAGCGTTTGAGAACACAAACGACAGCTTGGTATTTCACAATTTTCAAGCCCTATTTTACTGTATCATCTCTTACTTTTTGAAATGTAATCATTCACATTTAGCAGGGTTATGAACAACACTCTTCTGCGCGGTGTGTCACAATTATTTTGACTCTCTAGGGAATTTCAGACACCTGGCAACTCCATCCATCCATCCATTTTCCCATCCGCTTATCCTTACAAGGATGGTGGAGGGTGCTGGAGCCTCTCCCAGCCATCTTCGGTGTTCAATTAGCCGTCATGCATGTTTTTGGAATGTGGGAGGAAACTGGAGTACCCGGAGAAAACCCACGCAGGCCTGGGGAGAACATGCAAACTCCACACAGGGAGGCCGGAGCTGGAATTGAACCCACAACCTCTGCACTCTGAGGTTGACGCGCTAACCGCTGGAACACCGGGCCGCCATCTGGCAACTGTTTATAACAATGTAAACATTGCTTGTACGGATCATCAATGTGTTATGGTGGTGACAGTTTAACCCCCGGGCAGATCATTTCTATTTCCATTGTTTCGTGCCCCTGGCTCACCATGAAAGGAGGGTAACAAAAACAATGTTTTGCAGATGTTGTTTGCTTCGATTTTAATTGTTAACTCTTGTCTCATATGACATATTGACCTGCCAGAGTGTCAACTACAAAGCACCACTATTGCAGTTGAACTCGTTTTTTTTTTCTCGCTCTGGTAGAGAATAAATGACAAATGAAAAACTCAAACTGCGTCCACAAATGTATTCTTTCACTCCCAAAATAGGCGGGGATTATTGTAAGATAATCACTATCATATCATTTTCTTACAATGCTCCATGATGTCATAACCAACTCGATGTGGTTGCCTCCTCCAGATACTTTCCCACAGTTGAAATGACAGCTGTTGTATCACTGAGTGCCAGCTGTACTCCAACCCTCCACAAAAACACTCACACATTTACCTTATAAACAAGGCAGAGGACAAACATATATAGATAAAATTGAGGATTACACACACACTCACAGGCGCCTGAAAGGCTCTCACACATAATTAAAATCATCTCACATGTGGAACTGAAACACTGTCTCACACACACTGGAAAAAAGGCCCACAATGTTGGCTGATAAATAAAATGCTACAACAGCAAACGCGAATCCACTGCGATTTCATGTGCCTTTTACTAGTCGCACCAACACCATAACAATGCGTTAACATGGTCACCATGGTAAAGCTTCAACATACAACAAACTCGTTTTGCTAGCTTGGGGGTTTCATATTAGCGTTACGCGTCCGAGACCATTAGCATCCTGACATGTGTCAAGAGTCTTTTGTAGATTGATGTAACAGAGAGAAACCTGTCACTTTCAAAGTAAAATATTTTTCAACCTCAGATAATAATTAAACTGCAAGTACTGTAAATGTTTTCTTCTTTCAACTGTGCGGCCATCCGCGGCCCAGTCCAAAGTAGCCCACTGTTAGCAGTGCGATAGAGGGTTATTATTGTATGCTAGCACCACTTGTGTGTGACGTCATCAGTCATTTTCGTGCTACCGCCCCTATCCCACTGAGCGGCGAGTGTTTTCGAAGGCAGCGAATGTTGCGTTCCCATCACAGTTCGTCTGGGTTTGTTCAAAAATGTTCGCCAAATATTTGCTAGCCTGTACTTTTCTCACCACAAAGAAAGTTTGAATAATTTCCTTGCGACAAGAAAAAACACTCAAACTGTTGGCGAAAGTCTGATGAGTTGAAAGTTTCGTGAACAATTTGCGACCTTGAACAAACCCCGACGAACTCTGACCTGAACGCACATTTTTTCTACTTTCGCCAACAGTCGCAATTGTTCGCCCCTCAACTACAGGTTTGCGTCTTAAAAATCCACTGAAATTGGATATTGTCGTTGAACAATCAACAACAGTGGCAAAAGCAATCAAATCTGGGTGGCATTGTTAAATTAGCCAGTGGACTGTGTGAGGAAGTATCAGAGGGAAAGCTAGCAAACTCCACGCCAAAAGACTTTCAACTGCAAACTTTAGAACAGTGAGGCAGGTGTGCAAACCACTAATCCACCCTGCTGTCCCCAGTTTAAAAACAAAAATAATGTCAACATCCCTTTACTCTACTCATTTCAGCCCATGTCAGTAGCTTTAAATACAAGCTGCAGTTCAACTCATGGAGGGGGGGGAAGGCTGCAGATGATCTTCTCAAACATAAATCTATTCAGCGTCCTGGATGGTTTCAACCGCAGCGATGACTTGTCAGCAAAACTGTGCCGGAGGAAGGATGGAAAAAA